ATATCACTTTTCTACTTCTTTTATCAGCGATAAAAAATTCTAAAAAAAAAAGAAAAGAATAATAAAGGAAAAGAGAGTGGAGAATGAATCGTTAAATCATCCTCAAGAACCCAAGCTCGTCAAATTTTTCTATTGTATACATTTAAGTCTACGTCATGGGCGTACTCATGTACGTATGTACACATATATCTATTCCCTTTCTTCCGCAGGGGATAATCGTAAAGTATATGAGGTAGAAACATCTGAATATGAATGATGCAGATACACAGTCATTCGAAGAGAACTAGGGGTGCTAATATCGGTTACTCTAGTGAACTTTATAGCTTTTGTTTATTTATACTTTTCAGTCAAATCGGCTCTGAATCACCTACTTCATGCTACCAGAATCGTTGGGAATCAATTCACAGTTTATACATCTTTGTTACGTATTTATTTTATAGTTAAATTCATTTTTATTGAAAAATAAAGTTGTCTATATGAGTCAATGTTGTTAGAAACAAATTCTTGCACTGAACACAAACTTTTTTTGATGTGTTAAACGTGAACAATTTTATTTATAAATTGAAGTAAAAATTCGATTAACATGGCAATTAAAGTGCAGTAGTGCAAAATTGCAATAAAATAGTTGAATCATCAAAAATAAAAATCAAAAGAAAGTAGCTCTTACACTGAGAAAAAATTTTCGCTATACAAAAATGTTGGCTGGTTCAATAAAAAAAAAATTTGAAATATTCGCAACAGAATATTTTACTGAATTTAATGAAATGTATTTTGAAATTTGGTTCAAGATGCTGATAAGTTTAAATTTAAGTAGCATTAGATTAATTCTTACTTCCTAAGACATCGTGGATCTTAAAAAAAATTATCAGTACCCATAATACATTTGGATTATCCTGAATCTGCAGTATTAATTTTGCAAAATTGTATTTTAAATTATTGGGCACAATAGAAATGTATTTATTCAATGAATTATTTTGAGTTACCATTAGAACTAAATTTATCAAAATGTTACTATATCAATTCCAAAAAAATATTTATTGGCAATTATTCAAAATTTTGATTTCATTTATTAGGAAAATATTACTTGTTTAAAGTTAATTATTTTCTCAGTATAAATGTGGACAAAAGGAATATTTGTTTTCTAATGCACTATTAATTAATGATAACTGACTCTATTTACTGCGGAGTAAGCATTATTAAAAATATATTTTAATAAAATTTAAATAATAATAATCTTGTTTACGACTTTTTAGACAGTTAAGAGTGATTATAAAAATATATTGTTTCTTTCTCAATTAAAAAGACTTTATAAGAATTGATTGATGTGTTGTATCATTTGCATTGTTTTACTCATTTGAATTCAAAGGTTTGTAAGATGAGATAGCAAGAATACTAATAGTTTTTATGTAAGGATAAAAGTCTTACAGTAAGAACAAAGTGCAGATCAGAAAGAATATTATTATTTAGGGATGAGAAGAGAGCTTTTCTTTTTCTTATGCAAGATAAATTGACTTGGTATCTTCTATACTATGACATTAGATGATTTATGGATGATGCTGACGTCATATCGTAAGAATAAATTCACGAATAAATTCATTTCTCTGAGAGGTTTCGCTCATTCGCATGAATTCATATAGCAATTTTAATACATGTTCATCTTTTCACTCATAGGGTCATATTCATTCAATCGAGCAAATTGAATCATTGAAATAAATCATTTTCAACGGATTAATCGTCATAACAATAATTTATTTTAATAATACATGTTATTGAAAAAAAAAATATTTAGAGTTATTTTTACGATATAATTACTTTCAATGCATTTCAACTCATTTAAAAGCTTGTAATTGTCACTTGAAGAAACTAGATATTTCAGGAAACCGATTCCGTCCTTGATTTCTAGAGATTGCTATTTTATAGTAGCTTTTGTAAAGAGAAAAAAGAAAAGAGCAAAAGCCCGCCAAGGAAACGGAGCAATAGTTGGCTCCAGACCCCTTGGCGCCGTCTCGTCGCATCCCTCGAGCTTTTTGGCAAAACATTCTGCGAACTGCTGGGCTAGAACGAGAGGTTTTTTTGCTACGACTACAACCACTATTAACTTTCAATGCAGATAGAAATACTGATAAAGCTTGCAGAAGTGAACATAAAATGGAGAAATCAAGTACAAGCATACACTACCTTAAATCCACATCTCACTATCTCAAAAAACTCGACTTCTTCTAGACCACCATTTTCTTGAGAAATTTCTTTCGTTCATTTCTTATACTACGAAAACCTTTGCTAGTCATGAACATTTTACTGTGTGGCCTTTTCAACCTTTTCGGAGCAATAAATTTTTCTCTTAATGTAAGAATTAAGAGAGATGGTGGAAACTTTGTTGAATAGTTTCTACAAATTTTTGTAGATTGTTTTTTAAGTTACTTTTTCTTTAATAATTGAGTGTTTTATAGAAAAAGCTTTGATTGTTATTAAGATTAATTATCTTTACAATTTGTCCTGCTTTTTAAAGTAAATACACACCGAGAAAATTTTGTCTTGTACACAAATAAAAAAACATCAAACGTTTATTAAGTTTTTTGATTATTAATTTCTCGATTAATCAATGATTAAAAATGATAAATATTTATTAATATATAGGTTAATTTTTTGATTCACGCTTTTTCTTCGTGTTCCACTTTACCCAACTTTCTTCTAATGAAAAATATTCAATTTCCATGAGATCTAAAATTTTAATAAAAATAATTTTAGGTCTTTGAGAAATAAATATATTCTCAAATAAATTGATCAAGATGCAAAGTTATCAAATGCATCATTATTATTTTTTTTTAAATCTTTATAACAATATTTGCAACTTATGCAAAAATTTTATCTCACGAAAATCCCAATCATTTGCAAATAAGTTATTTAAGTAATCAAACTACTGTGGAGCATTATAAAAAAAAAGTCACAGGCCTGCTGCTTGTCGTTGCAAGGAAATAAAATCTGGTAATAACTTCAGATAAAAATCAACTCATTTCAGGAGTAGAGTAAATGGGAAGCAGTCCCTTTCTTCTCTTAAGCAATAAATATATGAATCAAAAGACAAACTATCGAGAGATTCTCCCTTTTCACCAATTTCCTACTCAACAAACGTCCCTCTTTCTTTTTTCGCTATCTCTACAAGAATCTAATATTTCTTTTGTTCTATTTCAAAGATACTGTCTGCAATTCGCATCGCACAACTTCCATGAAGTCCCAAACTTTATCTCGTAATTTCATATAATAAATCTATCGAACTTTTACTATTAACGATGTAGAAAATAAACCTCTGTTATATAATAAACTCATCAAAGCATAACTTAATTTGAAAAATTAAAAAATTCTTTCACAACTTCTTAATTAATTAAAATAAACAACAATTTCTAATCAATTACCATTTCGTCCAATAATTAATGAATCATTTAATTATTTATCAGTAATTAATTCTTCTTATAAATTATTCCATTTAATTAATCGTATTTTCCCGCAAATATTGATCAAATATATTTGTCTATGGTGCTGGAGAATCCAGCAGCTGGTAAACAAGTTTGATCGTAGATAGAGTAGATTTCATGGGGAAAATAAAAAACATAAACAAGTGATTAATTAACTGATAAATTGAAAAAAAGCTAACTTTAGAATGTTTATTTTTATATTGAATGAAGCTTGTTATGAAGCTAGTGGGTGAGGATTAATTCTTTAAATTAGAAATTAATGTCAACCATAACAACTGGTTTCGAGGTCACATTTGGTGTGGGTTGTGTGGCCCGTTTTCGCAAGAAATAGTACACCCACGCTTGATTTTATTATCAAGGGTGTCTTTTAAATGAGTTGACTATTCTTTGGTCAAAGTAGTTCATAGAGTCTGAAGAGTAACATGTTTCGCAAGAAGATAAGTTAAAACATATCAGAAAGAGCTGAACAAGCGCAATGTTGTCTTGACCAAAGCGCCCACATTGAAAAGAGTCTTGAAACAACTTTTTTCCTTCCTCTTTCTTTCCCTTTGGCCGTTAAATCGGTTTGGTATTCCATATTTTCTGTCTTTCTTGATCGTCAATGTCACACAGAATGTGTGGAATGTAAAATCGAACACATTATATTGTTTTGTACATTTAATGTGCCCACTCTCATTCAATTCCAATCATTTGGATAATCGAGTTTCTTTTTAAATCACCATTAATCAGATGGTACCGATAAAATAAACCTGTTAGAAAATTTCAATTTTAACCAAGTTTTTTTTGGAGTTATACAGTTATCCTCATGATATTTAATGTCTATTTAATGTAATCCAGTGATTGGATTGATACTGACAATCAGCGAACATTCACTGATTCGTTTAAAAGAGTACTGATGATTACTAAGAGCTGACAAATCCTTGACCATATTCAGAAGATTTTGTTGACGTCATGTGCCATATAAATTGTCATGTTTGCGGTTTTTATTATAACACTATTACGAATATTTTTAATGGTGTCTTGATCTTTTAAAATGTTGTAGGCAACTAATAATTTACTTCAAAAATACACAATGTTTTAAAATCTATTGATAGTTGTTTTTCATTGAAGAAAAATCAAGGATAAATAATGTCTGATTATTTTACAAATCTGTGTAGGATTTCATTAATATTAAATACAACATGAATTAATAAAAACTGTAAAACTAGATATAAAAAATATCTTGCACTGATTTTTTATTATTTATGAATAAAATGATAATTTTCTTTCAAGTTGCTATCGCATTTCTGACACGTAATACATTTTAGCAAAGTAATTTGTTCTTCAGATTGATGAACTCAGTTGAAGTCCGATAGAATTCATTCGCATTCAGAATTGTTTTTAAAATTGTAGACATGGAGATAAGATATGATATGGTTGGTGTTGTATTGCATCACCATCATCATCATCAACGTTCTATATGTGTGCGTGTACGAGAAACGTATTCTACAGTGAATCTGAATGGAGGAGGTTAGCATGACCAAATTTGGCGCGTTCTCGTGCACCTCATAAATAAGTAAGTTCCAAAATTAATTGATCAAAAGATACAAAATGGTCTCATTTATATAATAAATAATATTATCTTAAGAAAAAAAAATTTTTTCTCTTGGAAATGAAAATAATTTTTTCTCTTATCAATTTTGTTTTTTTTTTTGAATTAAAAATATTTTAACTCACGCCAACAGTTTGATAAATATTTATTATTATGATGGTAATGATATAATTCAACTAAAAATATATTATATCTGCAAACCGGGTCACTGAAACTAACGTAAAATCAAAACCATTATTCCCACGTGAGTATGAGCTTAGAAATGATATTTTTAGTGAAAAGTCTGTTTGTTTGGATTGGCTATATTTGCAGCCAGCACCGAAGTATCAAAAATATAAATTTCCATCATTATAAATCTGATAGAAAAAAATAACTCAAGTTTATATTTAAAATAAAAAAATTTAATAAATCTTTTATCGAATTTATAATTGGTTTAATACGAAAATTTAATTTCATTGCAATTTAATGTTATTTTGAAAAGTAAGCAAATTTAATCAAGGACTTTCTACACACTGATAGGTACGTTCCTGAGGTTTCAACGCAACGGAACGACGAGACTGGACCGCCAGAGAGTCGTAAGTGTTGTGTGTGAACGTGAAGTAGTAGTCGAAGTGACAAATTGTTAAAAACGCGAGTTAAAAAAAATTTCTACCAATCTATGGATAATTTAAACGGTAAGTTTAATATTTTAATTAATCACTTAATTAATTAATTATCGAGATATATCAAAATTTATATATTTTATTGATTTTTCCCTATTTTCATAACCCAGATGGGCGTGCGCCGATTTCATTTTGGAGTCATTCTATACTCTGACTTCCATTTATGTCGATAATATTTTTATTTATGACTATTTTAGCGTCAAACAATTGAACTGAATCATCATCCAATTGAAAAAAAATTCTGTTATAGAAATGTTCTTTATTTTATCCTTAAGGAGTTGTAAAAGCTAACCTCAAACACTAGACTTTCTGATGGTGATTTCTCAAAATAGAAATGATTCATAACATACGTAAGAATTGACAGGTCAACCGTATCACATTTTTGCATTTCTGTGAATAATTTATTTTAATATTAATTGGTCGAAAAAGAAAAACAATCAAATTACAACCCATCAGAATGATAGACTGGGTAGAGCAGACAAATAATTTGATTCTAAATTTCTAGTAAAACCATAAAAAAATTGGGTAGATAATCAATAAATAGGGTGTGAAAACTCAAGAAAAGAATCTCATACATATGTAAAAAGATACTTTCTCAATTCTGTATGTATTTTATAATATTATACCTTCGCCCACATATATGTATACATACACATTGATAGATAGGACTGGCTTTAAGGTGCTTGTATATGTATAGGACGCCACTAGATTCCCCTTCGAGGAACTCTTGACGACTTAATCTAATTACGCGAAGCACTCAGACGCAGTTTTGATTACTACTATGGACGTTTATAATATTTTAATAAACTCCATGTGCTTTTTAATGAATTCTGCTAACAATTAATTACAAGTATCGAAACATTTAAATGCTTTTAACATTCAATAATTACTCATATTCTGCTAACAAATCATCTTTTCAACATTCCAATATGATAAAATTTTTCTTCATACATTTTTTCTGTTTTATCTACATGTAAACATATTTAAAATGACACATCAATTGTAACATTGTTTAAATATTCATGTTTTTTTTTGCATTACGTTTTATCTCCAAGAATATCCTTGACTCGGCATTTTCCCGGAAGAAAAGTCATCAAGAACGTGATGTCCGGCTCCAACTACAAAACGGAAAGTCAAGTTCCGGTGTGTGAAATTTATAAATAGTCACATGCGTGTATACTTTTTTTATCTTTTTTCTTGGCCATGTAGTTTAGCCCAAATGAGTAAGATAAATGTTTCACAAACTCATAGATCCTACCACATTGGACGCATGCGTCCATGTGTTGACCAGGACTAAGTTGTAGGTTAGAGTTACATCTGGTACAAACATGTAAATGCGTCAAGTTCTTGGAAATAACGACTAGACAATTGTGACGCAGAATGTCATAATCTGAGGATTATATCATGGAGGATAGGATGATGCAAAATTTCAATGGTTCTTTTATTCCAAATCCATCTCCATGTATCACAGCAGTTTTCATTTATCATCATATTAAGCTCATATAGGATTCATAAAAACCTTACATTTTGGCAAGGGACCAAAGCTTGAATCGTTTCTTTATTTGCTAAATACGCAGAATTGTAAGAGTCGTGTAATAGCATGAGATAATATGATGTGATGTTGTTCTAGTGGTTTGGTCATCAGTCGAGCAATTGTAATGTATAGTATGTGTGAACGTTAAAGCAAGTTTTGCATTTCATTACCCAAGTGACACATAACTGTGTACAATAATGTCCATAGCTGTCGGGAAGTAATGATGTCACAGCTAGTTATTAGTTGATATAATATGAGGGATATATATTTTTTTATAGTTTATGGGTTCCTGCTTGGTGCAGAAACTCATGATTGGTGGTTGAGCATTCGGGGTAACTCATTTTCTGTTGCCCACACCCTTTGCTTTGCTCTCTAGCCATCATGCGCCTTTCAAAGGGGATGAAATTCAAAGCAATTTCGTGCAATCATCCAATTCTGTCCAAGCTACATGGGTGTTCTGACTCTGTCACGTCCTCTGTCTGCTCAGGACACTCTCCTGCTCTGTCTCATTTCTTCAAAGGAGACAAATGGCTTCGTTACACTATCATTATGCTCATGACGATCTCCAGAGTTTCCCCAAATAATTATCTTCTCCATGACGTAATCCTTTCCATAATTGTATAAGATATACTTTGATCGAGATGCTTCCGACTATTTTTTGCCATAAATTTTTTATTTGTGTTTTTAATGCACTTTTCGTTCTGTTCAATAGTGAAAATAAGCTTAATGAACAATAAATATCTGAGTTAAATATTGACATATTAAATTTATTTAACAAATGATTGTGGTATTTTATAAAGAAAGAAAAAATTTTTGAGTCTTTTAGTAATGTCCCAAACACCCTGCACATTTTTCTGAAAAAGCAGGAGATTTGGTAAAATTTATAAAGGTATATCATTCATAGTCCTCCCTCTTTATATGACATTTTTTAAATTAAAGAAAAATATTTAACTTGAGAATGAAATATTTTTTCAAATAGTCATACAAAAATATCTTGATTATAACAATTTACTTAAAACAAATATTTTAACCGATAATCAATCTGATATTTCTTTTCAAAACTTTACTTAGACAAAAGTCCTTTCAATAACTATTAAATAGAAACAATTTGATTTATAATGAAGTAACAAAATAAATATTATCAAAAGTGTTATTAATTTTGAAAGTGATAATTTATTATTTCTCTCAGCATGTCTTACTTTATTTAAAAATATTTAATTTCTATAATTACAGTTAACTATTTTTAACCTTTGAATAATGATCATTATGCCATTTTTATTCACAAAATAAAATAAAACAATCAAGTATGACAAACATATACATTTTCATCTGATACGTAAGGTAGTATTATTGTATTAACTAAACTTTCTTGCTTTTCTTATATCATACTTCTTCTATTCTCTGATTGAATTGAGATGTCCCACCGATTGACAAAAAACAACTATCGATGAACAATGTCAGCTGTCTGAGTGGTTCTTTCTTGTTATCACTCCCCTTTTTACTTATTTACTTTTATTTTTTTTTTTTTTTACTCCATTTTTCTGAATGAAAGCCACAAAATGGTCATTGATTTATTACTATTTTTCATAAATAATTAAAAAAAAAATACAACTAAAAATTTGCAATGCTATATCATTAAATTATTAATTGAAAAATTATATTTTTGCTATAACAGAAAAATATATTTGAATACGTAAGACAAATACCTGTATTCAGGTTTCAGTATTGATGTGAGCTTTTAGTAAAGATCATCCCCTGGTCCACTCATTCGCCACGTTTAATCTAAGACCACCCTTGTTTGCTAAGTTTTAGGTTACAACTCGTCTAATGGATTATCTTTATATTCTATCACGCTTTGTCACTTATAAAATTATTTTTTCTTTCCTCGATTCCTTTTTCTCAATCTCTTTTTCTCTTTTAGATACTTATTGAAATTTTTCTTTTCTCTTTCACTTAAGGACGATCTCCAATTTTTTCCCCCCATCCCCAATACGACATTATTTTTTTTGTTTGTTCAACTTATTACATGACTTGCCATATAGCTCATTTTCACTAAAGTGAAGCTCAAAATTACTTTTAATGATATCTTAAATAATCAGATTTCTACATTTGGAAATTAAATAAATTATTCCAAGCAATTCACTTAAAATATTTCCCAACTTTCAACTGTTCAGGAGAATCATTATCGAATATATTTTATTATTCAATAAAACATAAAATAATGGATCATGAAGAAACATCAACTCTTGATGTTTCAATGAGCTCGTTAAACACATTTTTTAGGATACTGTTATTTTTTTTATGCTGATCGTAAATCTGATTAAATTGCGATCAATTAAGTGTTCTTTTTCGTCAAGTAATAAACTTGTTAAACAATAGTGAAAGCAGGGAAAAAAATTTTTTGAAGCTGATAATATTCATGTAGAGTTTTACAAAATTTCATTGATATGAGTAGAACATTATTTACAACATTAATTAAATATTTTCTGAACCAAAGAAGAAGTTTATTACACTATTTAGTAGAGTAGTTTATTCAATTGAATAATTTTATTTTTAGTAATTGATACTAAAGCAGGCTATGATGCATTATTAATTAAACAAAATAGCCTATTAAAATTAGTAGGACATGATCCTTAAGACCTCATGATAATAAGTCTGATCTATACCTAACCATACTTAAGTTGAATCGAATTCTGAACATTTCAATCGGGTAAATGCTCTGATACTCGATATCTTACCTGATTTATAAATGATTTGATTGAAAACTCAAAAGCATTGTAGTTTATTTGAATCTTCAATCTATCAATAGCTTATAAAGACTGTACAACTGATAAAAGAAGAAGTTGTAAAAGATCATTGAAAAAATTCCTTTAAGTACTTGTGAGGTTATGAGGGCACGAGGAATTACAGGTATACACGTATCCAGCATCGTTGAAGCGTCTCGAAACGTATATAAGAGATGAAAAGCAAGAAGAGAATCGAGAGGATCAGAGGCGCCAGAGCGTCGCGGCGCCACCCCCGGCGTCCGCCACGTTGCCGCCATACTCACCCTCTTGCAAAATTTCCCGTTCCTCCTCTCTATCTCTCTTGAAATCATTCTACAATCTCTCTATTGCGTCCTTGCCCTCTCCTATGGCCTCTACTCTGATACTGAACTCATTTTAACAACTGAATCAATTTGTTTACAATATTTTTATTTTTCTCAAATCTGATCAAATTTTTTCATCCCTATTCGATTGAAAAAAATATCTATTGTCGGAAAATAAATATTGAATACCTGTCAAACTATTTACTTTTATAGAAAATTTTGATAACCGATGCATGGAAGATAATATCAGGAGTATTGAAGATGATAAAGTCCAAAGTACTAAAATTAAAAAAAAAATTATTAAACAATTTTTTTAATAACTTTAGGTAATCACTGTAATATTAAGCATTATTTTATAATTTTGTGAAGTTTACCATCTTTAATTCTCTACCCCTGATATGTACTTGATAAAAAATATCAACTTAACCCTTTCAGTCTTGGTAATTAGTGTCACTAACTATTTCTATTCGAATTTATTTATTAAAATACACACCATCTAGTAAGGCTTTAAGTCCTAGATTTTTTTCTACTTTCTATGATACTTGGACCATAAGTGAAGCTTAAACAAAAATTATTTCCGATGTTAAAGCGTGACTGAAGGAGTCAATAAACAAAATATTTGATTAACAATGATCATGACAGAAATGATGATAATATAAAAAATAGATTCACTGAAAATTTCTAGTTATTAATATTTATTTTATTTTATTGATCATTTAATCGTTGTAATTTATTTATATTTATGCATAATGATTATTTATTCCGTTATTGCAGATTCAAAGTACAATCGATAGCAACGAGACCTGGAGAATTGGAATTGACCAGAATATAGGTAAGTTTAAATCATTCTATTCTATTATTTACTGTCTCTGAATTTTTTATCCTGTTATTTTTTTTTTTATCTATTTTCAGATAATAATTTACATAATAATTGAAGTATAGTTTATGGTACTTATACAATAAATGAGTAATAATATAAATAAAAGATAATATAAAATGGGAGATAGTAAATAATCGAATAAAAAAATATAAAAATGATTGCATGAGTCATAGAAGATAGGAAATTGCAGCTCAGTACTAAAAGAGGTTCGAGAGGTATGAGCCTGCCGTAAAATTCTCTACTCTCCCTTCGTTTTAGTTTCACTCTTTTGGACCTGATACACATAACATAGCTATAGACTTAGTAGTTCTGTACCACCTACCCAATATCGGAATACTTCCGCGCCGTAGACTTCTAAACATAACACTTAATTGCGACAAATATGGCCCGTAAAATTTGAATAGGCACGTGATGATGAGCGGAGAATCCAGAAAGAGCGTTGAGGGTTGGTCGGCTTGAAAATTCACCCCTATTGTTCTCTCTTCAAGACTTTGTGCGATTTTACAGAATTCAAGGTAAAATATTTTACCCTGTGAAAAATCAAAAATCTTTTTAATTTTTTTTTGTTAATTTTCTCCTCTAACAAATTGTTTGCATAGAAATTAAACAAATAAATAACTTTTAAGTTTGAATGAGAAAATGATGCAATGAATCGTAGCAACTTTATTTTTCTTATCAATTTTGTTTTTATAAATCATTTGTTTAGTCAACTATTATTATTTTAGTTTAGTCAATTATTATATATAAGTGATAAAAAAATATTTATTAACTATTACTCGTGGAAAAAATGAAATTATAAGTTTGACTGCTGTAATACTTATTTTATTTCTCTTTAATAAAAATTCTTCAAACACCTAAATGAAAGCTGTAAAAAAGCTGTAAAAAATACAATCGTGATCTTCAATATAAGACTTGAAATTTTTCTTTATTAGAGCTGAGTTTTTTAAAATTTAAGGATAGATTTTTAATAACAAAACAAAAAAATCAACAAATAGACCACAATTTATCCAGTGTTTTGATAGCTTATTGACTGACATTCCTTATCGGCTAATGTCAATCAAGCTGTACACGCTTGGACTTATCGATTCGATTAATCAGCTTGACAATGTACCCTCACATATAAACACCCTCTATCCTTAAAATTCCATTGATGCGTCGGCACTCATCGGCAATTTCCAACCGGAACGTCGACATTTCCACGTCCAATTGGGAATTGGATAAATGGATTTTGGAAATAGTCCAAATTTATCAAGAGCTGTAACAATAGAAACCAACAGCAAACTAGAGTCTAGGATTCGCGATATCATAAGGAAAGATCGTAGGCTGAAAATCTTAATGCAACGTAGAAGTTACAGAGATTTAGAGTTAGGACAAAAATTAGGGGTTGAAAATTAGTCGAGGGTTTCGCAAACTTGTTAGAGTTTGCTCACTAAGTTGAAAGCTTTCTCCAAGTATGGAAGAATGAAAATGATAAAATAGACACAAGAAAGTGATTCAGTTGTAAAACGATTGAATAGTTAAATAAAATAGCGTGGATATTTAATAGCAATAATTTCGGATATTTTAGTAGGTAAATTATTTTTCTAATCTAGTAGTCATAATTTTAAGCCTTATCTTCAGGTGCATTAATTATAAAATGAAAATAAAAAATTTGAACGTTATTGTTCAATACTTTGATAATCTTATTTTGAGTTGTGATATTTACAGCTTATTTTTTTTCGTATATCTACAGACATAAATGTTGTTTTCTGCATCTCAACTCTATCCCATATGAAGCTTGGCGCCAAACTGTCTGCTCAATTGCAATTGACCGTTCCATCAATTTTTCCTGTCTACTAAATGTCTATTTCAAATATTAAACTACCATTTCTTAAATTCCATCTAGCATTTTCACTTCATTCAGGGATCATTTTTTTTTCTATCGATTTATTTGATTCTTTTCTCTCATATTTGAAGCTTTCAATTAAAAGTTCTGTTATCAGGAAAAGTGATATTAGTTTAGTAAATTATTTAAAAAATCCAGAAACACGAAAAAGTATGAAAAGTTATTCAAAATGACATACAGAATATTTAGTTGATGAAAAATGATGATATTACCGGAGGAATTATTCTGTTATACAGATGTTTAAGCATAAAAGTTGGATGTCGACAGATGTCCAGAGTTGACTGGTCGATTCCGATTAATGATAAAGAAGAGGGTGCTATTGCGGATAACCATGCGATAACAATTTTCAACTTCGAAATGGACCAACGCCTGTTTCTAATTCTCCTGTGACCATTTATGAAATTGCGTGTGATCTTATCGGATTTATCGAAAGTTATTGGTTTTATAGACACCACCTGTTTTTTTTTCTTTTCAAGATGAAAGAAGAATTGATATAAAAATATTTCAACACAAAAAAACATGAAAAATCCACCCCATTATTCTTATTTTCAATAAGTAAAAATACGTCAATTATTTAAAGTAACATTAAATGTACTTTTGTCAGGAAAAAAAGAATAAATCTTTCTGATAAACATAAAAGATGGACATTTAAGAAAAAAAACAAACTCCATGATGTAAATTTACTCGGGAGGGGGTGTATTAAGTGTCTAGGGTGGGTTGAAATTTTGGAGGATGACGGAAGAGAGAACAAAAATGAGGGAAAACTGGATGTCACTCAGGAGCACGACGTGTAAGGCAATGGTCACTGTGGGGGGTGAATTGAGATGTACAGGCAATTTATGCAACGGCACTTTCGATAGGAAGTGAAGGGGATGGCTTCTGACTGCGTAACCGTAACTTAAACAAGAGGGTAGAAGACAGCTCCGGATAACTCCGGAAAGTTAGATTAAGAATTTCAAAAGATAAAATATTAGATAAATTTGTTATCAACAGAACAAAGTAAATAAAAAAATAAGGGAAGTAACATATTGATTAATTAATATAACAAATATCTATTACTCCATAGTACATCAATTAGAACAGAGACTCTATGATACCGGAAATGTTAGAGTATACAGAAAAAAATATTCTAGTAAATATTACTAGCATGGTAAATGATACAAATTGAATGATTAAAAGAATTAATAAAAAAAATAGATAAATTTTATAGTTATTCGAACCCTATTTCCTATTTAAGAATTTACATGGATATGTGAAGTTAGCCAACAATCGAAATATATCGAAAAAGTGAGTGATTTTTAACACACTATGAAGTGCATAAAAAGTGTCTAAAAATCATGCATAGTTTATTCATGAACATTTTAAATTGAACACATTTTATTCATTTTATTTTAACATGTCAGTGAAATCATTACTGCAAACCTAAACGTCTTAAAATAATACGCATAAAGCGTGTAATATTTAAAATTTTCATAAACCAACCATATATGATTTGCAGAGACATTTCAAATTTGTAAAAAATGTATAGTTTGTTCATGACATTTAACATTAAACAGTCTAAGCATGTAAAAAGTGCCCACAACAATAACACACTTGGATTTGTAAAGTGAATTCGTTAATTCAATTGGCATAGTAATTGCTCTATATACAATGTAAACCTAATTATAAACTACTTAATTAAATACTTCAAATGTGCAATAATTAATGATAAAATACTTAGAAACATTTTAATTTTTAATAGTAGTTATGATTTCAATAGATAATTATTCAATGGATAAATTGTTTATAAATTCTGTTCATTTTTAATTGTTTAGATTTAGGAAATCAAAGTGGATAATAGCAAGGGTGGTTTGAGGGTAGAAAGAGAGAAGGGGAAAATAAGGGGATGGATATCGTAAGTCCGCGTTATGTGATGCATCGGACCACAAGATTCTGCGGGACAATCCTCGAGAGAGATTAAAGTGGGGAGGGACGCATTGAGAGTAGGGTTGAAAGCGCGTTCTTATCCCTTACGCGGAGGGTGCACCAATGAGGGTGATATCTGCGCGCGCAAATAGAACAAATACTCGGCTGGGTGTCGCGCGCTAGGCTACAGACGCATCACTTCTTTGGCGACAGCCGTCGGGGTAACATCCTCGTTCTCTCTATCCTCGCGCTACCCTTTGTCTACTTTTCGTAATATTTTTCAATGTTCAACTGTTACTTTTATCTCTTCTACTTACTTTACAGTCTATTTTTAAATTGATTCCTTTGAACAGTGTTTACTGATTTTAAGTAATATTCAGTTATAAATGATTTGATAAATATTTTATTTGCCGTTTTGTGCCTCGATTTATTTTCGGTTGTCGCAATCGTTGTGCCTTACTATAGCCGTCCAAAATCATGTTGGTGCCAAATACAAAATAATTCTGTTGTGATTTCTTTTAATAACTTTATTCGTATTTACTCAATATACAATCGTTGGAAATAATTAATCCTCTTTCAAATTCCCGCGGAAAGTTTTAAATTTGCCGCGTGCCATTCAAAGTTTCGCGCGAAAAATTAAAAATCATTTATTATGTTTCCGTTGAATTTTTTTTTTCTCACCCAGTAGCCTTCGATTTTTTGTCGTTCGATAAAGAATCAAAAAACCGTCCCACACTTGTGCCTTTTTTATTATAAGGATTTTATTTTTCGAGTCACGAATTTTTTTTCAATATTCCTCTAAACTTAAATCTCTTTTTTTTCTCCTGTCAATTCCGTCCTTTATTTCTCCAAAGTTTCCAAGTATCCAAGTTCGATTTTTAAAACTGTTTAAAATAACGGAAAATAGTAAAGTAAAAAAACTGAAATAATAAGATAAAGAAAACAACATAAAACCATTGTCACCATGGAGATGTGGTAAGTTACAATTTCATTCGAATTATTTATTGAAAGTAATTTTTGCTTTTCTTTGATGCTTGAATAGAAAGTACTAGTACAAATATACGTAGAAAATGTGTTATTACGTTGATAAAAAGCTGTCAGGATTAGAGATATTTTGAGGGTGCAATAAATTATCAATGATTACCTTGAATAAAGGTATCATTTGAATTAAAGCAAATTACCAAAAAGTCCGGAGGGTTGTCGACAAAAAAGCTAATTACAGAATCGTAGTCAATTATCTAGAGGGAGTGAATTGAGAAGTGCTACTTAACATCTTGAAACCGAATATGATAATACTAGAGTAAATTTCCCTACCCGACAGAAGGGCTGAAAATACTTTGAATAAAATTAATAGAAATATATCCTGGGTAGAGAATGTAATTATTTATTTCTTCGGGAGCAAGGATAAGTGTAATGGAGCACAGGAATAGTACAGAATGAGGGTAAACAGTGTTATCTAGTCATGCTATTAATTTCACTCGCCTAAGATATCAGATTCTATCAATCCTAGGAACGAACCGTGAAAATTCTGTTTAAAATAGTTTTAGCTGTACATAAACTTATTCAATATATTTCTCTTCAGTGATCTGATAATAATTAATTCCAAGTAATGATGAAACTTATTTTATATCTAATTAATTAATACTTTTCTTTATCTATGTAAAGAGATAATTCAAAGTTTTGAAAACACATTGTTTAAAAGTGCTATTCACTTAGTGGAAACTAATCAAATTAAAATAATACAACCAATAGCTTTGAGAATTAATTTAAAAATTTTATAATAAATATTTTCGCTGTTCTAATAGACAGTTGAAAAGTTTTAATTCAATCAACGTAAAAAATTATTTAAATGTTTCAACAATATTTTAATCAAATAATTTCGACATTTTGTTATAAATTATTTGATAATATTAATTAATGAATTGAATGGAATAATTTAAATGTCTCAAAGGTCGCGTTACTAGGGCATTGATGCGCAAGAGCGATGAGCAGTAAGCACTTCAGTACGATTTCACCAATCTACCATTTCCCTTTCTGCTTGCTCTTGTGATTTTCTCCCTTCTCTCTGACCCCATGAATCCTTGGATCGTCGCGCAACCCCGGAAATAAGGGGTAGATTGCTCGCCGTTCTTCTCAGTTACGGTTTAAGCTTTGGCCATGTATGAACATATTTTCACGTTTCGTTTACGTTTTTATAATGTTTATATACTTGTCTATCAGCAACTACTTTAATTAACTAACATTAATTTATTTCTTTAACAAATCAATTCTCGAATGTGATATTAAAACAATTTTCATTATTTTCAAATAATTTTAAAATCTTTTGAATAATTTATTTTTATTATTAATTAATTAATATTCCAACATTAGTGATAATTAGTAGTTGATTCATCAGCATAAATTATCAATGAGCCTTTAGAATTTCTATCTGTGATTAACAAAGTGATATGTGAATACATTATTATATAATTAATCAATTCAATAAAGATATCTTTATTTAATTTAATTATTTAATAAAAATCATCATTAAACCATAGGCAAATTTTATTTACATCTTATTTATCATAAAGTAAGTTCATTACCGATCATTAATTTCTAAATTTTATTATTATTAATTATGTTATAAAAATTTATTAAAAATATCTCATGACTTTCAATTGCTTAGTAAATAAATAATTAAAAATATTGCTGCTAATATACGCGAAGTGAAGTGTTAAATAATATTGTTAGATACAAACAATTTAAAAAATATTTATCTATTGTTAATTGTTAAGAGAAATCGTTTTCTAATGGAAGACTATTCGTGCATGAGTTTTATTGGATTAATAAATTTTTTTTACACTCGAAGTCTTCATCGACCACGACGACGACATAATAAACCACTAAATAGATCATGGGTATTTAATATTAAATGTTTTAATAATATTAGAAATGCCTGAATTAGTGGTAATACTTTAAACCACACGAATCTTTAAACGGTTTATTTGCCAGTTGCCAATAAACTTGTGAAATAGTCTATGAAAATGAATTAAAGAGGATGAGTGGTCGATAAACTTGGGAAATGCAAAATAAAGTAATAAAATCGAACAGCAAAGTCAGGAAAAGTGATTAAAGTGTGCATTGAAGAATGAAAAGTAGATCAATATTTATTTTTTCTTTTTTTTTTTATAAGAAAATAACAGGGGAAAAAATATTAAAAGCAACATCTTTAATACCAATAGACATCTTATAAATAATAAATGATCAATATTGATTGATTATTTTCTTTTTCTAGCTTTTTGCCAAAAATAGACATGAAATTTATTCATTGAAATTCCTCATAATCCAATCAAATATTAATTTATCATAAAGAAAGTAATATTTTTAAAAAAACATTATCATCAAAGACATGTTTGATTTTGAGATAAATCTTTTATAAGCAATGAGATGTGAATTGGTAATGAATTAAATAATAATGGTTTTAATGCATTTATGAATTGATTCGAATGAGAAGTGGTTACGAAGGAGAAAAAAAAGGGAAAAAGTAAGGTAGAATAAAGGGGGAATACAACACTGTACAGCCCCTAGTTCGTTGATCTTGTTGAAGCTTGTATAATCATGTCTTGAAGGGGATATTAATCGTGAGAGCAATCAATGTCTTCGATTAATCGCCATTTGGGTGTCATCATTCACAGTTTCTATTCATTCTCGCGTGATAAATCCTAAATTATTGTTAATTATCATACCTTCACCGCATAATAAAACTTTTAGCAACTCAATTTTATCACAGGTTTAAAATTTATGATATAGAACATTTTTTTCCAACTTTTTCTTTATTGTTAAACAATAAAACAATTTTTTAGAGGATAAATTGATTATTATTTATGATAGATTGTTATGAAAGTCTGAAGTGCCTTTATAGTAGAGAGCTAGACTTTGGTTGAATTATTGAATTAGAAAAGTTGGGTCAAAAAGGTGAGAGAAAGGTAACGAAAAGTAGAGAAGATTTAAAGTACATATCTACTCTAAGAACCTCAAAACTTGCCAGTGATTTTATTTCTTACTAGAATACCGCATTACTCGTGTTATCGCAGTGGCTCGGTTATTCTTTGTACACTTTTACTTTTCTTTTTTCCTGTCATTTTTATACTTCCAAGAGTTAGTGACCATAAATTACCTTCTTTTATCTTCAAGAAATTTATGAACATGATAATACAACAATTATTTTTAATTTCTGAAAGATTATACTTCTTGATCATTTATGCAATTGCATATCTACTTATCCTTCCTTATTATCCTTCAACTAAGTAATAAAAATGAATTTAAAAGATCTATTAAATAATCTAAATATAATAGTTGATGTATCAATTCCAATGAATTGGTGTCAATTTATAACAAGACTATTTCAGTCATGATTTCACGACGATGTATTTGAAAATAAATATACTAATGAAGAAAGTGAAGGCTAAGAGAGTTGGAAATAGTGTGAAAAAAAGTGAGAGGGCAAGATGTAAAGAGTAAATGAATAAGGAGAGTAAGATGAAGGAAGGGGACGGAAATAAGGATCGGTTGTGCTTGAGTTTGACACAGTCAGAGCCAGCGTTGCTTGGCAACCTTTCTAAGGGTGGAAGAGTCACCATTGGCGTGGATACTTGCACCAAATTTTATGCCTTCGATAGCCTATGTATTAGAGAAAACTACCCCACACTATCAGATCCTCGTCTCTGATATCTCCAACACCACCTCTTGAAGGACATTCGAGTCAATGACCGAAAGAATTTGACAGTAATTGGGTATCTTTTTTTTTGTGGAACCACAAATCTAAGCAATACTTTTTCATTTCATATTAAAGTGACAATGTTATATACAATTAGTTTGCCATTTTTTATTTTTAAATTATTTATTTCAATTTAAATCTGCATTATTTTCTAATCATTAAAATTTTTTTTGTGAATTTACTTTACAGTTTCTGTTGAATTGGAATAAAAAATTTATTAAATTAAATCAATTAAAAAACTATGAACAGTTAAATAGAGAGTTGAACTGAAATTTATAATAAAAATATATTCTGTTAAATAAAAAGAACATTGGTCAATTTAATTAAAAATAAGTGGGGTTTTTCGAGATGTCGTGACTTTTATTAGGATTTTATGCGAATAGTTATGCAAATACAGGGGATAATGAAAGTAGCCTTGCATAGTAGCCGCACTAGTCATCCCATGAGATACTGAGCACGTGCCGTAGCATACGAATTGTTTATCTCAAATCGAAGGGGGTGGTAAATAACTTAATTGGTAACAGACGAGACAATTTATTTTTATTAGTCCATCGACCCCTTTAAGTACATAGCTAAGTAATTCTATGCATCCCTTGAAGCCTTGTCTCTTACACAGCTGTGCAGACTGGTAGGTTAATTCAACGGGTAAATGAAGTGCCAAGCCACCAACTCGATCGATATATAGATTTACAAGTAGAGTTTCTACTTCCTGGGGCTTCAAGTCATCGTAGTTATCAGTCTCTTATTCTTCTCCTTTTTCTCATTCTTTTTATTTTTCCCTTTTACTATTTTATGCTTAATACTTTCTACCACAGAAACATTCCGGTCTAGTAATTTGTTAAAATTAAGTTGTAATAAATTTTTTTTACCTCTTACTTTAGGCCAAAATAGCATTCATTATCCTTAATTGAATTTTTCACTTATTCCCATTGTTTCGTATTATTTCCTTCCTATTTAAACTTTTAAGAGTTTCTTTCACTCAATTTGATAATTATATTGATTGATAAGATACTTCATTCAAAAAATTCAGCAATTCTATTTACTGGACTTCTATTTCTGTTTTCCTTTCAACTAATCAATTGACATGTTTTGCTTTCAGTCAAGTGATTCTGAGAGCTTTTATACACGAAGAAAATCACCTGATACAGTCACAATGGCTACTCTTTCATTGCGGATTTCCATTCCGGAAAAGAATGCGACCAAAATGATGCAATTTGATCCAAGTACGTCAGTATTTGATGCGTGTAAAATCATCCGAGAGAAATTAGCTGAAGCTACTAATATGGGACAACGTAAGTATTTTATTTGAATTTTATTTTTTTATGAAAAAGTTAGAGTTTTTTAAGTAATTATTTTATTTTTAATTCAACAGCTAAAGACTATGGGCTATTTCTTTCTGATGAAGATGCGAAGAAAGGTGTTTGGCTGGAACCAGGACGTAACTTGGACTATTATATCTTACGAAACGGCGATTTGTTAGAATATCGTCGAAAACTACGAACCCTTCGAGTACGAATGTTGGATGGAACTCTTAAAACTCTGTTAGTTGATGATAGTCAACCTGTTGCTAATTTGATGGTTGTAATCTGTACAAAAATTGGCATCACCAATCATGATGAGTATTCATTAGTTCGAGAATTTATTGATGAAGAAACGGAAAATCAAAAACCCGGTAATTTTGGTACTTTAACATTAAAAAGACGAAAGGAAGATAAAGGTGAGAGAGATGCTAAAATGGATCAATTGAGAAAGAAATTAAAAACTGATGATGAAATGAATTGGGTTGATCCAAGTAAAACATTAAGAGAACAAGGCATTGATGAATCTGAAACAGTTTTGCTACGCAGAAAGTATTTCTTTTCTGATCAAAATATTGACAGTCGTGATCCAGTCCAACTCTCTTTGCTTTATGTCCAAGCACGAGATGCTATTTTGGATGGAACTCATCCAGTTACTCAAGAGAAAGCTTGTACATTTGCTGGAATTCAATGTCAAATTCAATTTGGTGATCATAAGGAAGATAAACACAAGCCTGGATTCCTCGACCTAAAAGAATTCCTTCCTCAATCTTACGTCAAAGTTAAAGGAATTGAAAAAAAAGTTTTTGCTGAGCACAAAAAACACATTGGGCTTTCGGAGTTGGATGCCAAAGTACTTTACACGAAAACAGCAAGATCTTTAAGCACTTATGGGCTAACTTTCTTTTTAGTTAAAGAAAAAATGGTTGGTAAAAATAAACTTGTGCCTAGACTTTTGGGAGTCACCAAGGATTCAGTTTTGAGATTAGATGAAAGAACAAAAGAAATTTTAAAAACGTGGCCTTTAACTACAGTTAGACGATGGGGAGCATCTCCTAATACTTTTACTCTTGATTTTGGTGACTATTCAGATCAGTACTACAGTGTTCAAACAACAGAAGCTGAACAAATTGTTCAACTTATTTCTGGATATATTGATATTATTTTGAAGAAACAAAAATCCAAGGAACATTTTGGAATTGAAGGTGATGAAGGATCTACCATGGTTGAAGACAGTGTCTCTCCGCTCAAGTAAGTTTAGAAGATTCATTTTGTTACAGTAAATAGATTATAGTTAGTTGTTTGATAACACTGATTTAATTAGCAAGTTATTAGTATTGTTATTATGCTACTACTTGTGTGTTAGATTAGATCTTGGAGAACTATTTAGTCAATGTGTCTCTAATGACAACGTAAAGTTTCATTCAAAATACGATAGACAAAAGGTTTCTTTTAGTAATTTATAACATAGTTTAATACAAATTAAATTTTTAAATTAAACATTTATTCAACTATTATTGGTTAATTTGAAAGTCACTTCAAAGCAATGGAAGAATTCTTACGAATTCAGAGAGAAAAATACCGCAAAAATTACAAGTCAAGTAACATTTTAAAAAATCGAAAAGCTTTTTTCTCAAAGCCAAAGACGAGAAATAATACTGGTACCGTCGGTTTTGTTTGCTTAGGGCGACTATCATGCAACATGAGACTAGTAACGTGGGAAAAGGAAGTGTGGAAGCTGTTTCTGTGGCTATTCCTGCTGTCATGAGAGTTGGTGGTGATGGTAAGCATCTTTGAACTCGTATTCGACTGACCAGTGTCCAGTGTCTAGCATCGATCGATCAAAACCAGAAAAGTCCGGTTTGGAGACATCTAAATGATCACGTTTTTCTGTACAGAAGCACTTGGTGTTTTTCTTTTTTGCAATTTGATCTTGGCATTACTTTCTTTTGTATATAAGTAAATGCTCAATTGCTCAAACGCTATTTATAGTAGATTTAGGTAATTTATACCAAGCAAACAGGATATCAATCGGAGCTAGATGGACCTTTGTAAAATATTATGTGTTTTCTAAAGCTAGATCTGCATGATAAATATTTCAGGAGCTCGACCTTATGGAACTGGACACATGGGAAGTGCCCAGTACACTACCATCAGCGGACAAGTTAATATTGCTCATGCACCTCCAATGGTAAGGATAGGATTGAATTTCAAAGTTACATTTAGTCAAAACTCCAAAAAATGAGTTTAGAAAACTGTTTAATATTTTACCATTTAATTATTTATTTTTGTCGAATAACTGTTGAATATTTTTATTTAAAAATTGATTGGTTAACTCATTTTTCGAGTAAATTGACTATTTTAATTTTAAAGTAACCTTCTATTTACTATATAATTTAGTTAATTAAGATATATTTTTGAAATAGAAGGTTTCTTGTGTGTTAATTAAATGTTAGCAGCTTCAAACCAGCTATGAAAAAATGTTTAGCCGCGTTTTATTTGGCAAAAAAACTTTTTTCGGACAATATTATTTTGTAATTGATTATTCAATTTATTTTTCATGCTAGGCACCTTCTTTTACGGATCCAACGTAGGTACCAAAAAATTCCTGAATTTTTTATGTTTATTTTCAAAAAGTGAAAATGAAAAAATTTTATTAATTTTTCTTTCAATTCCAAAATATTTTAATAAATATACTCATAAAGTTTGAATAATTATCATTAATTTAAATTGATTAAAATTTTTTTTTCATTCAAATTATATATGTTATTATTTATTCAAATAAAATTCCTAAGAGGTAATAAAAAATTATTACTAGATGTTAAAATTAGTTAACATCAAGTAAAATGAATATTCATGTATTGATCATTTATCGTTTTAGAAAATGAATAAGAATTATTTAATTGGAAAAAAAACAAAAATTTCATAATTGTTTTGGTATTATTTCGAAAGTGAATATTTGAACGAAAATTAATTCATTATACAGGTTCAACAAACTAAGGTCACTTCAGTTCTCTCTGAACCTCAAAGAGCTCTGTTATCAACAATCACAGCTGGACATGAGGTGATCCACATTGCAGAAACAGAATTGACAACGAAAGCTCAATTACCAGAGCTTGGCAATGATCCTGCTTCGCTAAAATGGATCGCTCAAACAATGGTGACTCACAAACAAAATGTGGGTACTCAGATTGCCGAAATGAATGCTGCTACGGCTCAAGTTGTGACTTTGACCTCAGGATCAGCTGAAGAAGTTGATCACACTGCTGTAGGCGAAGCTATTTCAACAATTGCTACGAATATACCAGAAATGACAAAAGGAGTACGAATGATTGCTGCTTTAATGGACGATGATAAGTCTGGAGATCATCTATTGGATGCTGCTCGAAAACTTTGCACTGCTTTTTCGGATTTACTGAAAGCTACTGAACCAGAAACTAAAGAGGTAAATAGAGGAAATAATTTTCACTTTACTAACTCACTCTTTCTTCAAATATTTTCAAACTTAAATATCTCTTTTTTTTATCTTTTATTATCATAAAATATCAAAAGATTTTCCTGTCCACAGCCTTTCTATATTACTTCAACGTTATATGGACAATATGTAAGAAGCCTTTGCTTCCTAACTTTTTTTTTGAATTCGCTAAATAATAGAATTTCTGTCAATACTTTATTGCTAATCTTATATTAATTTGGAAGTTATTCGAAATTTATTTAATTTTTATTAATTACGTTAATTTTTTTTTAGCCCCGACAAAATCTACTGAATGCAGCATCTCGAGTAGGAGAAGCATCTCACCAAGTTCTAACAACAATTGGTGAAGAAAATGACTCGAATCGTGAACTTCAGGATACGCTTTTAGCTCTGGCTAAAGCTGTAGCCAACACAACAGCAGCATTAGTTTTGAAAGCTCGAAATATCGCAGCAACTTGTGAAGACTCTCAGACTCAAAACCGGGTAATTTCAGCCGCAACTCAGTGTGCCCTAGCAACATCTCAATTGGTAGCATGTGCTAAAGTGGTCGCTCCAACTCTTCAATCTCCAGCATGTCAAACCCAATTAATGAACGCAGTTCGAGAAGTCACGAAAGCCGTAGAAAATCTAGTAGACGTTTGTAATGAGACTTGTAGTGATGAAAATCTTCTGAAGGAACTCAGTGCAGCAGCTGCAGAAGTTAGTAGGACTTTAAACGACTTATTAAGTCATATTAGAACTGCTACGAAATCTGGAGAACGTGCGAAAGAGGTTGTTCACGAAGGAGCAGTAGAAACAATCATTACTGCAACTGAAAGACTATTTTCTTCTAGTGGAGATGCTGGTGAAATGGTTCGTCAAGCTAGAATTGTTGGTCAAGCAACAGCTCAATTGATTCAAAGTATTAAGGGTGAAGCCGAAAGACAAACAGACACAGAACAACAAAGAAGACTTTTAGCTGCTGCTAAGACTCTTGCTGATGCAACAGCGAAAATGGTAGAAGCAGCAAGACAGTGTGCTTCATCACCACATGATTCTAAAATGCAAGATCAATTAAAATCTGCTGCTGAAGAATTAAGAGTTGCTACCAGTGCTGCTACAACACCTTCATTAAGAAGAAAAGTTACAAAAGCTGAAGAAATTATTGTTGATAAATCTTTATTTTCCAGAGCAGCTCAGTCAATCCATGCTGGATGTGAAAAATTAATTAATCCTAACAGTACTAAACAGCAAATCTTAGAAGCTGCTACTATGATTGCAAAACATACTAGTGCCTTGTGTAATGCCTGCAGACATGCTTCAAGTAAAACCAATGATCCTGTCTCTAAACGACATTATGTGAAGTCAGCAAAAGATGTAGCTAACTCTACTGCTAATTTGGTCAAAGAAATTAAGGCTTTGGATAAAGATTATTGTGAAATGAACCGAGAAAAATGTTCTGACGCAACTAAACCTCTTTTAGAAGCTGTTGATAATTTATGTGCTTTTGCTGGTTGCACAGAATACATCAGAACTGTTACACATGTTCAAGAAACTATTACAGGCCCAGAGAAAGCTATTATTGATGGAGCTTGTGCTATGGTTCAAGCAGCAAAGAGTCTTCAAGCAAGTCCAAAAGATGAACCTACATGGCAACTATTGGCTCATCACAGTAAGAGTGTGAGTGATTCTATCAAGACTTTGGTTGCTTCGATCAGAGACAAGAGTCCAGGAGCTGATGAATGTGATATTGCCATTGAAAAATTAATTGCCAGAATTAAAGAATTAGATTCTGCTACTTTGAGTGTAGTTTCACAAAGTTTAGTGCAAAGACATGAGAACTCTCAAGAAGGATTTATTGAAGAGATGGATCAAAGTGTTGCTGAGTTATTAAATAAATTGGAACCATTGAGAGCATCTGCTAAATATGAAGCTGATAGTATTGGACCTTGTGTTCAAGCAGTTGCTAACTGTTGTGAACCACTAGTTACAGCAGCTATTGGCGCTGCATCTAACATGGTCAGTTCTAAACAACAAACTGTACTTCTGGATCAAACTAAAACCGTTGCCGAGTCAACACTTCAACTAGTTTACATCACTAAAGAGGCTGCAGGCAACCCAGAAGCTGTTGCACTTCACTCTGAAATTGATGAAAGCGTAGAGTGTACTAAAGATGCATTGAGAGATCTGAACAGCACTTTGGAATCCATTTCTACGTCTCATGGAATTGTCACTGGTCTAATTGAAACCATTTCTAGAGCTATGATGAGATTGGAAGAAACAAGAATATCAGACTCTGTTGATTCGTATGTTGATTATCAAACCAGAATGGTTGAAGCAGCGAAGGAAATTGCTAGAATCGCTCAAGAGATGTCCACAAAATCCAGTACTGATGCATCAAGGCTAGGCCCTTTGGCTGTAGATATTTCACATAAGTATACTCAGCTTGCCAGAGATACTTTGGGCGCTTCAGCTGCTGCCTCGACTGCTGAAGTATCAACAAGACTCCGAAATGGAGTTCAGGAGTTAGGCAGAGCTTGTGCTGATATTGTTCGAGCTGCTGGAATTTGTCAGTTGTCTCCAAAAGATTCTTATGCTCAACGAGAAGTCTCAGAACAAGGTAAAATTGTAACAGAACGAGTTTCTCAGGTCTTAGCAGCTTTACAAGCTGGATCAAGAGGTACTCAAGCGTGTATTAATGCTGCTAGTACGGTTTCCGGTATTATTGGAGACCTCGATACCACAATTATGTTTGCTACAGCTGGTACTCTTCATGCTGAGAATGAAGGAGATACTTTTGCTGATCATCGAGAAAATATTTTAAAAACTGCTAAAGCTTTAGTTGAAGATACTAAAACTCTAGTAGCTGGAGCAGCTTCTTCTCAAGAACAACTAGCTGTTGCTGCTCAAAATGCAGTTTCTACCATTGTACAACTAGCAGAAGTGGTAAAATATGGTGCTGCAAGTCTTGGAAGTCAAAATTTCGAGGCACAAGTGATGTTAATCAATGCAGTTAGAGATGTTGCTTCAGCCCTTGGTGATTTAATTCATGCTACAAAAGCAGCAAGTGGAAAACCAATCAACGATCCTAGTATGGCTCATCTCAAAGATTCTGCTAAGGTGAGTTTATCTTTGAATTTTATTTTTTTATAAAATTTACTTTTAACTGACACATTATTCGGAATAATGGCTTTATTAATCATTTTTTGGCTTTATTGAAGGTAAAGTATTTTATTAACTACTAATTTAAAATCAATCAACTAATTTTTTATATTTCTTCATTATTCAACTATCGTTATCAGATTCTCAAATCAAATTTTTAAAATCTAATTATTTTAATGGTGATAATATTATTAATAATTATCTGCAACAAAAGCAGCATTTTTTATTATAACAGTATAAAACATTTATCATATTGAACCATCACGTAGTAAATTTATTCTTTCATAATAATCATTTTTATCTCATTAATTAACATTATCTTTCATCTTTTGTGGGTGGACTTTAATTCACTAGATTGCTAACAGATTTACAAAAAAAAACTACACACAAATCAGACAAAAAATAATTTATTATAATCTTCCAAAATGAAGATTATTGAAACAATTGAGCTTGTTGAAAATGAATCAAAAATTAAAAATAACAACAATTAGGCCAAACGGGACAAAAAGAGGAAAAACAAAAATTCGTCGGTTTTAAAAATTAAAGTCCATCACAAAATTAATTTTAATCGATTAAAAGTTTTCTACTATTGTGTGTCGCAAGTTAATATTATATTTATTTATAATTTTTTAGACGTTTTTAGTTTACTCCTTATTATGTAAATAATTTTTAGAATGAGCTGTCTCTTATTATTTCACGTATAGCCATCTTGTATAATTTGCTTCTATTTATTTTATCTCTATATTAAATTTTCTTATTTATATAAAAGAATATTCAAATGTAAAGAATTCGGTGGACTTTGATTTTTGAAACGACGGATTTTTGAACGCTGCAATTAGGTAATTGAACGACAGCTGCAGCAGCAGATTTTTCCATTGGCGGGTGACACTGGAGGCTCCGAGTCTGATTGGATAGTCTCTGACCAAGAAGAGGAACTTATGCGACTTCTGTCATCCTCAGACAACACACAATCTGCCTACGAACAACCTTTCGATCTTCTGCCACTTATGTAGTCCTTTGTGAAAGAATCCCTTCTTTTCTATTCATTTTTATCCTATTTTATACTTTTTTTAAAGTACTTTTCATATAAATTTGTTCCTCACTATATATTATTGATAATTATATTGAGGCAAATTTTTTTTTATAATTTTATAACCAAATGAAGTTCCTTTTGATATCTAAATATATCTATCAAATTTGTAGCGTCAATAAAAATTTATAACATCAGAAAAAAATCGACAACTTTACGCAACCTTAAGTAATATTCATTCATTATCCATTTATTCGTATCATAGATAACTGAAATTAGAAAGGCAAAAATTACAATTTGTGAACAACTCGTAAAATTAAAGAAAAAAAAAAGGTGTTAGGTATGTACAATCAATGTCAGATTGTTGTGTTTTGTTAACAAGAAGTATTGCTAGGGCGGTGACTAACAATATCCCGGGAGCCCTGAGGAAAAATTCCCATCCTGCGACGTTGACCAAACTAAAATTCAGCTTTAATGTCGGTGTCAATTGACAGACTCACAAACATATTAATCCCTGCTTTTTTCAGGGTTTAATTGAGGAGAACTAACAGCATTTATAAATTAATAATCAAAAATATTTTTATTAAATCAATGAAAATTAATATTTGATATTTTTTATCAATAGGTAATGGTAACAAATGTGACATCATTACTCAAGACAGTCAAAGCAGTGGAAGATGAACATACACGAGGTACAAGAGCTCTTGAGTCAACGATTGAAGCAATTGGTCAAGAAATTCGAGCACTAAACACACCAGATGGTCAAAGACAAAATGTAACTCCAGAAGATTTAGTAAGATGTACAAAAAGCATTACGATTTCAACAGCAAAAGCAGTGGCAGCTGGAAATAGCTGTAAGCAAGATGATATCATAGCAGCAGCAAACATGGGTCGAAAATCAATCAGTGACATGTTGGCAATCTGTAAATCTGCGGCTTATCAATGTACAGAAACAGCTGAATTAAGAGAACGCACTATTCAAGCTGGTCATGATGTTGCATTAAACTATCGTGAATTACTCCAAGTTATTTTACAAATTGCATCAAGAGCTGGTGATGCTAAACATGCATTACCTATCATTTCAAGGAAAATAGCTCAGAGTGTAACAGAATTAGTTGCTGTTGCTGAATTATTGAAGGGAACAGATTGGGTTGATCCAGATGATCCGACTGTCATAGCTGAAAATGAATTACTTGGAGCAGCTGCTAGTATTGATGCTGCTGCTAAAAAACTAGCCAGTTTGAGACCAAGACGAAGTATTCAGGTAAAAAAATAACTATCTTCGATTGAGAAATTAAATTACAACTTGATTTTAAGCATACTACTGTATTACCCTAAGATATGTTTGATATTCTGGTTGTTTTCATTAATAATCGACCAGGAATCAAACATATTATTATGGTGAGCAGATATTTCTTCGATAAAAATTTTATATAGAAATTTATTCTACCAAATAATGTCAAAAATGAGAATATTCTCAAGTCCTTTTTTAATCAGTTCGAAGTTAAAATTAGCTTGTTTTTTTTTCACAGGAAACTTCTGAAGATATGAACTTTGACGAAATGATTCTCGAAGCAGCAAAATCTATTGCTGCAGCAACATCAGCGCTTATCAAAGCTGCCAGTGCAGCGCAAAGAGAACTCATAGCTACTGGAAAAGTAGCAAGAACTCCTCTAACATCATCTGACGATGGTCAATGGTCTGAAGGATTAATATCTGCGGCTCGTCTAGTAGCAGCAGCAACTCACAGTTTAGTAGAATCAGCAAATGCTTTGGTTCAAGGTGTCTCTTCTGAGGAAAAACTTATTTCGAGTGCTAAACAAGTTGCTAGTAGTACTGCTCAACTGTTGGTAGCTTGCAAAGTTAAAGCAGATCCTGATAGTGAAAGCACTAAACGTCTTCAAGCAGCAGGAAATGCAGTAAAACGAGCAACAGATAATTTAGTACGTGCTGCTCAACAAGCTATTCAGCAAGAAGAAGAAAGATCTCTAGTTTTAAATAAAAGAATGGTTGGAGGTATTGCTCAAGAAATAAATGCTAGGTCTGAGGTTCTTAGAATTGAAAAAGAGCTAGAAGAAGCACGAGGAAGATTGACAGCGATCAGACAAGCCAAATATAAGAACAAACCTGATTATTCGGATGCTGATGATACTGATCAAAGCGGGTATGATAATATTTTGCAATCAATAAATATTAAATAAATAATTAAATAAACTCAAAAATACTATTTTTTTAGGTATGGATCTAAAAGTCAAGATGCTAAATCTCTAAAACATAATTTCACTAATAATGTAGATCATCATCAACTTGGACAACAAGTCAGCCCTATCATTAATGATCGTCAAAATTTAGTCAGTCCTGAAAAGGTTAATTCAACTCAAAATACTTTAGAGCGAAAAATGAAGGACTCATCATTTAAAACATCATCAGAAGGTCTTTATGGCTCTGTGGGAAATTCAGGAAAATATGAAAGATATTCTCCAGATGGTCCTTATAGTCCAGAACAACCATCAACTCATTATAGCTCCATTGAAAGGAAAATCAATGCAGAATGTCCTGACTATCCAGAAACAAAACAAGGCTCAAGATTTTATGAGGGACCAATTGAAGGCCCTTTTCCTCCGCCACCATCTTTAATTGCTACTGGCAAATCTCCAAAATCTCCGAGCAGAAAAGTTTTCATTGATCCAAGGGATCAAAGTTTGGGAAGGTTCACTCCTGACAATCAACAAAAATTTATTACTGAAGAACGGAAGTTTGAACAAAAAAGTTTTGATAGTGATCAAAGTCAATATGATGGCCTAGAATCTTCTAAATATTTTTCTAGTCCTATTTCCGATAGATTTAATCCTCCACACATGAGCACATTTAAATGCGATAAATCAAGCGATAATCAAAAATATTTCAATAATTCAGGTATTCAGCAAAGCCAAACATTTAAAAACATTGAAAGTAAAGTTTTACCGAGAGGAAAAATAGAAACGATCACTACGAAAATGTTTACTTCAAGTCCAGGACAAACATCATCTATTTCGAATTACGAAAGCACCGAGCAGAAAGAGTTCAACACATCTGGAAATGATATGTCAACTTTCAAGGGTACATTTAACAATGGAGCTATCGAACAGAAGAGCACAAAACAATCTATGACTGAAAGAGTCGTAGAAAAGAAGACTGTAACCATGAAACTGTCCAAACATCAGGAGTCCAGCACAAAATCATTCAGGTTTGAAGATAAATAGATATTAATTTGATTATTAGAAAAATTTTAACGCACAATTCAACAAAAAAGAAGCAGGTTCTAAAAATATATTAATAAATAAGGATGCATTTTGTTTTATAAAGTATAATGAAATGTTGAAAGTAAATGGAGTAATAAATATTACTTTAACCGGGTATTGAAGAAAAAAAGTATGTAGAAAAAATAAAATTAGTTACTAAAAACATTCAAGACTCACCGACAGTTATAGAAAGTAGTCCAAAAAGGCCAGATATTATAGTGAAGTCCACCACTAAAGAAAAATACATTTCAAAAAAATCCTGACAATTTTTTATACATTGAACACTTCACAGTCAATTAAAAAAAACAATTGTCTTTCGATTATTAAAAACAAACATAACACTAAAACATTTGTTGAAACTTTTAGAATTATAGTCAAGTGTCCTTAGAAAAAAAAACAATAACAAAAGTGCTTTCGATTTAGCCTTTAGAACAGAATGCCTTGTAGTGAACTCCTGTTCACATATACTTATATTATATTTATTCAAAAATAGCAAGTGATGATAAATAATATTAATATTCAATTTTGAGAGATTTAAATATAACTGTCGAAAATAATTATAAATATAATTAAAACTGCAGATTGATGAGATTTTTTAAGAGTGCAAATTCAAACATCATTCAAACATGCAATCGGCGTCATGGCGTCTAATTGTTCGTTTTAGCGGGATTTTTAGTACACATGCGCAATAAACAAATCAGCGAACGCAGTTTTACCAAATTAATAAATTTTTGTATATTTTTCAATGAATAGTCCATTTTTTTTGGGTTAAAAAATTTTCAAATAATTCTGTTTTCATTAAATCAATTGAAACGTTTATTTATTAATTAACTAATCATAAAACATACTTGTAGTTAGTAAAGTATATATTTATTGTACACTAATATTATAAAAATATTCTGTCGAAAAGAAAAAATGTAAATGAGCTTGCAAATTTTTTTTTAACTAATTGGATTGATTATCCAATCTCGTCATGATGATATAAATGCACAAGACTAACAAAATAATTTTTATTTATATTTTACAAAAAAAAAAATATTTTAGAAAATTTAACTGATCTCTAATAATTCTTTATTAATGAATTAATTAATGATTATATTACGAAATATGTTATGGATGGTTTGAAAACAAAGACAATAATATTTATATATTTATACACAAGATAAATTTTTAAACTATAAAATACAAAAAATCTAATTTTTCGAAAAACGTATACTTAAAAATCAAACAATAAATCGTGATTATTAATACGTATTAATCAATCATCATGAATTAATATTCAAATATTTGAAACAAAACTTTTATTCAGACAGATGACTATTAAAAATAGTAATTTTTTCTTAAGTTCATTTAATTTTTTACAATATACATATTGTTTTACTACAATCTTTACCTTGATTAATATTAATGATGTTTTTTTTCTATTTTTCCTTCAATTTAGCACCAATAATTATGAATAAATTATAAATTATATAAGTTAAGTTCAAGTTCGTTGACAACACGATATGATCAACAAGAGAAGCAACATATCATTTAATTTTATTAATTTTCAGGAATCACAAACAACAGCATTCATTGCTATGTGATTTAATATTACTTTCCATTATACTCTGTTTATTCAATTAACCCATCCCTATTTTGTTCTTAATGATTATAATTATTTTAAACATTTATTTTCTTTCAAACTAACATGTCTTCCAATGTAATCGTTGCTATGTCTCGAATAGAATCTCATTTTTATCGTAATTATTTTATTTTTTTTAATATTACTTTTATGATGATTATTGATTTTAGTGGTATACGTATTCAGAAAAAAAAAAATAAATTAGCTGACAATAGTAATGACACAATGGCTTCAAATTGACTAAGCAAATACTTCTTTCATTCGATAAAGTAATTTTAATCTTTGAAAGTCTTATTGTTACTTTTATTATAAAATAAAACTTATGTGCAATTTTTTATCTATAAATCATTCGGCAACAATTGATGATAATTGTGATTTGTAATTGAATGAAAAAAAAGTTATGCCAAATATTTCGATTTACTTATTTGGTAATTAAGAAATGATAAAAGAAGTAATTTTTTAAAAGTCAGTCACTTCATTCGGTTTAGTATTTAACATATAATATAAATCTACATATAAAAACTTTTATATATATTCATATCATTTATTTTTGTCACATAAATCCTCATAAAGAACTATGAAAAAAAAATGTTTCTTGAAAATGATATGTTTTGATGTTCAAATAAAAAAATGTAATGCCAAATTGAAGAAAGTCTACAGGAATTGATTCATGCTTTTAAACTGCCGACAAATTTATATCAACAATAAATGAACTAGGTCTAATATTATTGTTCTAATAATTATTTGGTCTTTTACAATAGTGTGAATGCGTGCCATGGTGTCGAATAAAAAATTTGAGATCGACAATTGATAGGTATTCTTAAAATAATACAGTAATTTTTTGATTATATTATCAATCATTTCAGAGTGTTGAAGATTGCACTAAAGTAGAAGAAAAAAACATATAATGATAAAATATATTATGTTTACAAAGATTTATAAAAATTTAATTAAGGATGTAATGAACTAATAAACTGTGAATCTTAACAGTTATTGATAGATATATGTTATAGAATTATTATTGCTAGATAGATTCTTGCGCACCTTGTATATTTTATTATTTTATTTTTTGCAATAAAAAATAATTATAGAAATATTTTTAACATTATCTCTGTAACAATTGCCAAATACATTTTCTATTCAATTACTTTCGAATTGATAAAGTATGTTATTTTTCAAAATTACAATTTTATAGAAAATTATTTCATATTTTAGTTCTAATTATATCTCGAAAATTTTTTCTAAATTCGATAAATTTAAATTATGTCATATGAGAAATTAAGTCTCAATCATATAATATAAATATTGTATATTATATATTACATCTATAAAAATATATATTTCGTGGATCAATGGAAAATATTATACATTATTAGTCACCAATAAAATATAAACTGATTTTATAGTTGGTTAAAAAATTATGCAACATGAATTTAAAAATGTAAAAAAGTAAAATAAAATAAAGATAATTTTTAACAAAAAATAATTGGATTTATAATTATATATATTATATAATTTAATATATATTTTCCTAACGATATATTATATCAAGTCATAGATTTAACAGATAGGTGATAATTTAACACAGTACAATGTGATTGAGTAAAGACAAAAAGTGACCCATATCCTACTTTCTCCTCTAATATTAAGTACGATTTGTACATAAAATGGAAAGTATCAACTTGAATTAATTGAATGTCATATGGAAACCACCATATCTTAACCAAATTAGTTTAGTATTTTCCTTTAATTGTGAACGAGTCAACTTTAGTACTAGTTAATCGATTTATTTAATTCCTTCTGAATGAATCGTGGAAGAACGAATGCTGCTTTATGCATTTTATCACTGTAGTATCGTAATCCCATTTGATCTAGTTCTTCTTCACTGAACACTTTAATTGGATTTTCAAAGTTGGTTTCCTAAATCATTAATATCAATTAGAAAAAGTTCATTTGTTCATAAACTTAATGAAAATTAGAAAAAATTTAATGATACATCAAAAGTTTCATTTACATACAGAGTTAAGACTTCCTAGAATGAATCCTATTTGTCCTGTAGGATAAGTAGGAACAGATGCAACTCCATAAGCAGTAACAGGAAAGACAGTTTGAGAGTGTGACAAAGTCCTCGCTACTTGTTTATCTTTACTCCAAATTGTTCCAGCTTGGCTGCAAACTATTCCTCCAGGCTTCAAAGATGATTTCATCAAAGCGAAATATGATTTCTGGAAAAGGCACGTAGCTGGACCTATAAGAAATTTCTCACCAGTAATCTGACGTCTCAAGTAGTATCTTAAAGAACTTACCAACTGGGTCACTGCTATCAGTGATAATAACATCAAATTCCTCTCTATGTTGTTTCAAAAATTCGAAGCCATCTCCAACATGAACATTAACTTTAGGATGGTCTAATCCAGAGGCCATAAAGGGTAAGAAGCGTTTAGAAGCAGCAAGAACAGAAGCATCAATTTCAACTTGTGTAATTCTCTCAACTTTAGGATGTTTTACTACTTCTCTGGCAACTCCTCCATCACCTCCACCAACAATTAAGACCTAAAAAAAAATGATAAAACAAAGTTGTAAAGTTTTGCTATCAGTATAATAGTATAATAAATAGATTTATTATAAACCTTTAGTATGATAAGAGTTTTTTTTTATGAATTAATTTTCATTGCTTTGCTACAAGTGTTAATGGAGTTGCTATATGTCAATATTTTAAGCTATGATTCAAAATTTATTTTAACTTTATATTTGAATCAATTTGACAAATAATATCAGTTCAAAAGCTATTTTTTTATATCAATATACTAGTAATTAAATCATCATGTAGTTGTAAGTTTAAAAAAAATAAATTTTTACATTTTTTGGGTTGGGATGGCTACAAAGAGGCAAGAAAGAAATCATTTCTTGATATGAAAATTCATCATCTTCTGTGCATTGAATAATTCCGTCAAGAACTAGAACTCTTCCATGTGATTTCCTAAGCAAAAATTAAATTTAAAAAATTATTTATCAATTATTGAACTAATTTATTGTTAAATATATTTTCATCGATTATTTATTGATTTATAAGAATAGAATAAAATATAACTTACGTATCAAGTATCAAAATGTCTTGATACTGAGATTTTTCTTCATATAAAACTTGCTTTACTTCCAAAGAAACTGCAATTCCTGGCCAGAGATCATGATGCTCCGTGAACCAACCTTTTTTAAATAAATCCATGTCTGATGATAAATGTTAAAATCAATATCTTTTATAAAAATGTTAAAAATTTAACGCAATTGCTTTCTGCTTTACTGTTTTACAAACTATGTAGGTAAAAACTCAAACTTCAGCATTATAATTGTTTGAGTGATAAATATATTAAACCGGCTGTTGATCTAATCGTATCGTATTATTGAAGTCAAACTTGTTTTCGAGTCTCCCCACCATTTGCGTTTTTTATTAAAATAAGTAACACGTGCATTGATGGTCAAATTCAACTCGAATGATTGATAACAGAGGCCTCTTCGCGCCAAAAAATTATCAGTTGATCAACGAAACTATTATTTCCTTTTTTTATCAGTTAGCTAGTTTTTTCTAATAATCAGGTCTCTAATTGTTTTCATTATGTAATAATTGTAAGATATGAAATTTCTTATAATTTGGTAAAAGTTATCAACTACAAGGATCAAATTTTTTGACCTTAAACACTATCAAACATGTTAAGCTTCATCAATTATCTGCAGAAAAGCATGGTACTTTTAACCTTGATGCTATCAATATTTTCATAAATAACTTATCATTTGTTCTTTAAACGAAACCGTGCTGTATGAAAAACAGAATAATTTAATGGAAACGGAGAATTCAATTGACGTTTTTGACGACAAAAAGAATTTGAAAGTAGTTATAAATAATAAATTAATGATTTCATTATCTAGAAAATATAAATGTTCAAATATCAAAGAACATAATATAAACTAAATAAAATATTTATGTTGGTCAGAATGATTTGAATTTCGCGCGTGAACTATGTTTTACATATTCCGTGATAGGGGGCGTGAAGTCTCTAGTTCTATCATTCCTCACAAGCAGTGCTGCAGTCAGTTGTGTATTTATTTTCTCGGAAGCATGGTCGTTAAGTTTTTCCGCGAAATTTTTCATTGTTTTATAACATAAATTATTATATGATATAAATAATTAAGATAAAATAAGTGTAGTCTATATAAATAAGTGTATAAGGTAATAAATCATAATAGTGAATTTTAAGTTTTTCAATAAAAAAACGAGTAAATATGTCAATGCTTGCGGAACCGCGCAAAAAACAAAAATGGACGCTCAATCCACAGGGAAAACATTGGAGTGATGGTAAATTTTTTAAAATAATTTTTTGAAAAATCAAAAATATTTATTTTTCTGGAATATATTTTTTTTAAATAAAAGATTTATTTGTGTATAGATGTAGAATCATATCTAGAGATTAATTCATTTGAATTTATAGATAACAACAAATTTGGTCAAAAGATGTTGGAAAAAATGGGTTGGACACCTGGCAAAGGTCTTGGTGCTAACGAAAACGGCATGACTGAACATATAAGAGTTAAACATAAGGATGACCAAGCTGGTAACATTTATTATCGTTATACTGATTTTCTTTCATCGATTTTTAAATTTAGGCATTTTTTCAATTAATTCTAATAATGCTTTTGTGCTATTTGATATTAGGAATTGGTTATTCAAAAGACAGTCATGATAAATTGTGGACTGAACACCAAGATGGTTTCAATGAATTCCTCAAAAAACTTCATAATGGTGAGGATTCAGAATCTACTGAAAAATCTATTGACAAATGCGATTTAAGTGGAAAGTCGTTGGAGCTAAAATCGAAGTTTAGTCGAGCACGGGTTCAGTATGTTTATTATTTTTTTCTATACATTTATTATTAATTATTGTGAGCAGTTTTTTAAATAAATGTCTTATCAATTTTCAGTTACCATAAATTCACTCGTGGGAAAGACGTTAATAAATATAGTGCTAAAGATTTAGCTAATATTTTCGGTAAAAAAGACCTAAATGTTCAGCCTAAAGAAGTATTGAATGAACAAAATGATGAAAAAAATGCAGATACTGATTCAGTAGGTGCTACTGATAGTACTGCAGGAGTTTTAACAATAAAAGGAGGAACGATGACTGATTATTTTAAAAATAAGTTTCCGTTAATGTCTTCTACGCCTAAATCTCAAGGTAGTAAAAGAAAAAGTGAAAAAGAAATAGACAATGATATAGATGAAAATAATGAAGCTCAAAACTCAGCAAATAATTCAGAAAGTGAAGCAGAAAGGTATGTAGGCTTTGGTTATTCAAATTCTAATGAATCCAATGGAAAATTGCATGGAAAGTCAAAAGGATTATTAAATTCAGCGTCGTTTGTCTTTGCGAATTCTCCTTTAAATATCAAAAGTTCAAAAAGTACTCCAAAAAAGCGTAAAAGTGAATTTTATTGCTCTACTCCCGCAATGGAAGAAAAAAAAGCTCATGTAATTCAAGAAGAATATGAAGAAACTCCGAAAAAAAGAAAAACGGAACTTTTAGCTTTTGAAAATCCCGGATTAGATATGTCAAATTTGGATTCTCCAACGTCGTTACCCCCTTCGTCTTCCACGGATCCTATAAAATCATCCAAATATGAAGTAATTTTAACTGAAAATAATCCTCATGAGGTATATGAAGAGAAACCAGATGAATTAGCATCTGTCAAAAAGAAGAAGAAAAAGAAAAGACAAAGTTTATTTGTTGAGGGATTCGTTAATGATGGTTTAGATATCAATACCAAAGATGAAAATAATTCAACTGAACCAATTTCATCATTTCCGTTAAATAAAATGGAAGTATTGAGATCTGAAGCTATACCGATTGAGTGTATTCCTAGAGTATCAAATAATAGTCAAGCGGAAGAACAAGAGCCTCTAAAAAAAAAGAAAAAAAAGAAGAAAAAGGATCTTAGTATTGACGGATTTGTCAATGATGCTTTGAATGTAGATGATGGCTATGCAGAATGTTCACAGAAGGTATCCGGAAATGCTTGTAAAAGCTTTGAAGTATCTAGAGGTGATGTTTTCGGTCTAGCAAATAATGCTTTAGACCTTACTGATGAAACGAATGGTAAGAAACGTGTTACTTTTAATGATGTCGTTGAATATAACACTGACTCAACAAAGAAAAAGAAAAAATCAAGTGCAAAGTTAGACAAGTTTGAAGTGGACATTGAAAAGTCCAAAAAGAAGAAAAAAATTTTATCATTAAACGAAAATGCGGACGTAAACGGTTTTGTTAATCATGCATTAGATGTAAATATAGTTAATGAAGAAATGATAGATAATGAAGAGAATGAGAGAAAAATGAATAAAGAACGAAAAAAGCGAGATAAAGGAAAAAAAAGAATGTCAAATTTGGAAACTATTGAAGAGGTAGTAGAGGAAGAGGAAGGAGTCAATGGTACTAAAGAAGTGTCAATAATTAATGATAAAAGCACAAATGAACAATTGGGCGAAAGTTTAGTTGAAAACACGAGTAATGAATTTGGAGAAATGAATTTAGAAACACCAATGAAAAAGAAAAAGAAAAAAAAGAGCAAAGAGAAAGAAAAACTTGATGAAAATGTCGATGGCTGTAATGAACTAGTTGAGGATCAATTAGAGAATAATTCCGTTTCGAATAAAAAAGAGAAAAAAAAGAAAAACAAAGAAATAGATCACTTAGACGAGTCTAATATTAAAAATGAAGAGCAATTCAAAACAAAGAATAAAAAGAAAAAAAAAAGAAAAGAAAAAGATGAATCAGGTGAAGATAAAATGGAAATCGATGATGATTTCAATACAATTTCTAAAGAAAATTTTAATAAAGAAAATAAAAATAACTGTGATTCTTATGAGGTGCTTGAAGAAATCGAAGATGGAATAGAAAAAAAATCTAAAAAGATGGCAAAAGTTGATGATATCAATATCAAAGATGACAACAATGAAAGAAGTGAAAACATTGCAAAAAGTCAGTGGGAAAGTAAATCAAAACCAAAGAAAATATTTAGAACACTTTTTACTAAAGGTCCTCTACTCCATTTTCCTGGATCAAGCATCAATGAAATCAAAGGATATGGAATGAATTGATTAATTTATTATTAGTGTGCTGAACTTAGTTAAAATAAGTTTTATTATTTAAGTTTAAGGAATAATTAAAGTAATCGTGTGAAATTTTTTCTTAAGAGGTGAAAAAAATAAATTCAACGAATGATTAATCAATTTTAAGCTCATGAAGCTTATAGAACTTATTCTAGATTCAAAAATTTTGAATTGAATTAAAAAAAATGATATATTCATAAATGAAATAGTTATGAAATTACATTTAATGTAAATATTTGTAATTTATATCTAATTTATACAATTTTTTATGACGTAAAAACAATATATTCATATTAGTGAGTTATATTTACAAAAGCGTTTATTTGTTAAATTATTAACAACTTTGAAGAGTGCTAGACAATTTATTTAGATTTAGTAGATTTTTCATCTTCTTCAGGATATTCAATATTATGATAAATATTGACTATTTCATCTCTTATATCTAATTTAGTATATAGATGATTTACTTTTTCATTTTCTTCTTTTGATAGCGTTATCGTTGCTCGAGGAACATATAGATCATCGAATGTTATTATTTTATAATTCAATTTCTCTAATTGAGTTTGTATTCTTGGCATCATGATTGGATTACAGGCGAACTAAAACAAAAAGATGATTTTTTTTTATATTATAGGTAATGAAATTGCTATTAACTATTGAAAAATATATATCTATCATATCTTACTTCATAATATTTTCCCTTATCTTCGATTATTTCAACTTCATCAGCTCCAACAGCAATAGCATCTTCTATTGCAACATCTAAATTATCTTTCATCTCAGTGATAATATAGCCATAATGATTGAACATAGATACTAATTTTCCATCGCCATTAATACAACCGGCCTTTCTGAATATTGTATTAAACTCCATTCGTACACCTTTAGGATTCTCAGTTAATATTTTAATCAGAAATACTGATTTTCCTGGACCTCGACAATCAATTATCTCTGTTTTTACCTTACTATTTTCTATTCTGTTCAAAAATTTATCAATTGTAGCTGCTGGCATATTCTTTCTTCTTGCTTCTTTAAGTACTGCTTGCAATCGAGGATTATCACTTGGTTTAAGGCTTCCACCCTCTGAATGATCAAATTAAAACAAAAATTTAACACCACATTAGCCTATGATTATAATCATCAAGCAGTAATTTTTTTTTAAATCTATGCTGAGCAAAACATGATTAAACATTAATGAAATAATTCATTCAATAGTCGTTAGAATAAATTTTTACTCAGTTCGTTTTTTTAAAAAAATGTGACTGACATTAGATTTTTTATTTATTAATATAAATTGTTTGTATACTCAACCGGCAATTGCAACTTTTATTCGACGACACAAGTTTATGATCATTGCAGCTTTTTCAGCATCTTTTTCTGCTTTTATATGCCTTATGTTTTGCCATTTACTATGTCCTTTAAATTTTTTATCTTGAGTAATGAGTTCTTTTGTGATTTTTTTGACAGAAAATCTCGTCAACTTATACATCTTTGAAACACGCTAGGTTAATTTAACCTAAAAATAAAAACTAATGTTAAATAAATTTTTTTATAGTAATTAACAAATATTTTATTTTTACAGTACTAAAAGTACAATTTTTTTCAAAATTACATTACTTTTTTAAAACATTTTTATTTATTAATTACAATCAGTATTAATGATTGCAGTTCATACTTATTGATAACATAGTTTTTACTTACCAAAAAAAAACATTTAATTTTTTCGAACTTTACTACCACTTTCCTTTTTACAATATTTTTGTTATAATTAGGGACAATTGTTTAAAAAAGGCTAGGGTTGAAATTATTGGTTAGTCAGTTCTATGGAAGCAATTGTTGAAGATACGTCAAAGCGTTTTCTCTTTTATCTTCCGTCGACTTTTAGGTTTCATGTTGGTTGGAAGATGCATGTTGCTCCATTTGAATTTATTATCTATAAATAATCGTGTATAATCTTTTTTTTTTTTTTACAAATGAATTCAATAATGTATAAATGCTCACACTAATTGCTCGTAACAAGAAAGATACCATTTTTTATATAAAAAATATGAAATTCATAGAGTGGCCAAGATAGTATTTTTTAGAGCAATTAATGTTTTTACATGACTAATAGTGAAGTGTAATGAACATATAATATTACTTATAAATATTTCGCTAATAATTTACTGATGATAAAAAAAATATTGAACGATCGATGAAAAACAAATAATTATAATAATATTTTTTATTTTAAAACGTTTATTAATTTAAGTTTTTACTGGGGGAATAGGAGCTGTATACTCCTTAATTCATGGACACTTTTCATAAAATGTTTATTTTTAAAAAAAAGTTATTGCCGAAAGAAAGTTATTCTTTTATTTCTAAGTTAAATTGAACATTAATAATGAGTTTCTTGTATTAAAGTTATTAATTTTTTGCCACTTTTTTTATAATTATTCATATTTATTCGAATTACGACTATTCTGTGAATATGAACATTCTATTTATTACTGATTACATTAACGTTAGTGATTTCTTGGATAACGTGTTTTATTTTCTTTGTTATTCAACTTCAAACATATTTATACTGTCAGATTCATAAAACTATAAATACAAAAATTTTGGAGTAATTTACAACACAATTTAATTAAAATAAACTACATACATTGTCTTAATTAAACGAAAATTGAAAAAACATTGTATATATTACTTTTACTGTAGCAAAGCAAATTGAAAAATTTTTATCTGTAATCTTCAATTAGAAAAATGAAACTCTGTATATTTATTTTATTTATTTATTTATTTATTTATATATATATAGAGTAAACGTTATTTTCAAAAAAACATGACCATAAAGTAATGCTTTTAAAAAAAAGCACAAAAAAAGAGAAATTGGTTAGAAAAAAAATAAAGATAGAAAAATTTATCACAATTTTTCTCACCATAAAGCATTCTTCAGTAAACAACATTCGATTGAACATTGAACGATCACTCGTATTTCCGTTGTCAATACACGCCATTTTGGAATTTTAAGCCCTCATATTTGCGACCTAAATCAATTTCAAAACGACAGCAAGCAGCAAAAGAGTGAGAGGGAGTGCAACAGCCATCGAGAGCTTGCATAGGATAAAGAGACTATGATAAAATGAGTGAGAAAGTAATAGAATACGAGTAACAGTACTCTTGAACCTATGGAAGCAGCAACAGTTGCACAGTAATGGCGGTATGCTGCCGGAACATAAATTATCCTCTCATCTCTCTTGTCCTCACCACTCTGTACCATCCACAATTTGCTGCTTCACCCCCTCTGGCCCAATACCTTGTCAAAGGGGGTGCGACTATCCATTTAAATTATTACGTATATAGATTTATATATAAACATATATGTACAGAGATAAGTATGTGGATGTAGAGAAAAGGGACTACTGCCCCATCATCAAGTAAAAGAAGTAAAGAACCATCCTTTTCACTCTATCATTTTCTGGGTATTCCTCTATATCCGCCATCATCCCCCGGCGCCATCATTTCCATCGCGAATCCGAAAAAGGAGATGGATTACATGCTCCTGTATATATATTCTGGATTAAAACTATCGATTTCGGATGGCGAACTTGGCGCAAGTCGTTTCCGGTATACGACTACTCGGCAATTCGTTCTACTGCTATGTTACTACTGCTGCGTTTCTTGCTACAAACTCATTTTTCCTATACAAAAGACGACCTTTTTTACCATCTCCAATCATTTTTGAATCCTTTTGTAATTCGGAATGAAAATCGACAGATTGGAATTGTGTATTTTTTGTCGAATTTTAGGATTCTCCTCATATCTATTTTTTTGATTCTTTTTTTCCTCTTCTTTTCTCTCCCTGTTCTTTATCTTTTTCTTCTTTTATGATTATGATTATTATCATTATAATTTAGAAAATTGTTTTGTGATATTTCTTTCTGGTTTGAAATAATCAAGGAAATATTTGAAATTTTTTTCTCATCATTTTTTAGAATACAAAATTTTTTCTTTTTTATTTTGTTGTCATGAATGATATTCATTAAAAATGTGAGATATACATTACTTTTTGTATCATAATTTCAAGTAATAAAATGTAGAATTATTTTAATTAATAATTAAAATAATGATTGAAAATAATTTTGGTGTAATCTATCCAAAAACATTGGTAAAAGTATTATAAATTAAAAATTAATTTAATCAATTAATCACTCGACAAAATGTAATCTGACGTATTGATTTATTTTTTAATAAATTTTTCCGTTACATTAAATGTTTAACGGTTGAATTATTCAGCAAGAATTTGTGTTATTTTCTACTCTACTTCGATGTTAATCGATTGAATAACCCGAGTCATTTACTTCACATGCATATTCACATATTCCAAAATAAAAAGAATCCTCAAAGGATATTTAAAATGATGGAAGACATTGCGAAGAATATTTTCTATCTCACATTTCCAACTGTATTATTATCATTATATTCATATGATCGATCATCAATAAACTTTTATCGTTCTGCATTTTTCTCCATATATGTTCGCATAGATTGAAATTTTTATATCCATGATACGGAAATGTTTATGTTTGATTCTTTTTTAATTTTGAAAGATCTTTGGCGTCCCTTTTATTCTTGTATTCTATTTTACTTCTTTTACTATTGAGTTTAGGTTTACGAGCTTGCAACTTCTCACAAGATCACCATTTTATTCTTATCGTCAATTAAAACTTTATAAACTTTTATTTTCACTCATCCAATATATAGATACTTTATTTTAATGAAGTAATAAATAAAATTACTTGCCTTTAATATCTACATCCATTCATAAATAATTAATACATTTTCATCTGCAGTAAATAAAAATAATTAATAATCATTTTTTATTCATGTAATCAACGTCTGAAACTTATTTCAATACTTAAGAATTTTCTTTCGCAGTCATTCTTAATTTATAAGTAAATAAAATATAAAAAAATAAATCACAAATTTTCCTTACAATAAAAAAAAAAAGTCCTAAATTAATTATTCAATCAATCTTTTCATATTTACTTATTTATTATTCACAATTTTATTTAACGTAAATTAATTATAAATATTTTTTATGTTTAATATTTGAAAAAATTTCTATTTACTGTAGATAAACGTTGGAAGAATTTCTTTCTAGAGTAAAATTATTTATCATCAACTGTTCAAACAATTAAAGAGAAAAAAATTATTTGATTTGTAGTTGTAAAATAAATTGGTGCCGAGTGTTCTTTAATATGTCTTTGATAAAATAATGAAAGATACTGAGAATAAAAACAAGACGAAAGAGTGAAATAATTATTTTTCCTGTGCAATGTGGCACACACAGTGTTCGAGTGTAAGCTATTTCGATTCAGATGTTTAGATAAAAGTGACGTCTATGAGACGTTAGGTATATATGGGTTGGAAGCGTAGTGTGTACATTGACGAGAAGAGAGTAACATCGAGAGGACGATAGGCGTCCAGACGGCGCCCGGCGTCGTGCTAACTAGCAACCTTAATGCCACACGTAGACGCAAACACACTCTTCGTAGTCCTAGTTATATAGCAGTAGGTAGAGCCGTGCAGTGTCAGACCCACGCCTTTATTAAACGTCCCGTCTATTCTCTGTATATGTTTGTGCTCATAAAATTGAACACGGCACGAGTGTAGTGTATGAAGACAAGCTTAATATACCTAGTAAAAATCCACACCAAAGATAATTAAAAAAAAAAACTCAATATATAAATAGCTATTAAAAATTATCTAATTAAATTGAACGTACAATAAATACTCTTTTACAGTTTTATTAATTTTTTTAATTCTCTTTTTATGCTGTAATTCGATAATTACTTTTAAACAAAGAGAAGTAAAATTTTAATGTTTATAGCGATGTTATTACTTTATATTATTCCTATTAAAAAAAGATAATATAAAATTTACAAATGTTTGGAGTAATTAAAGATAATCTTTCTTAGGGTATTACTACCATAAGGATTATTTTTTTTTTAAGATTTTTTTTTTTATTACAATAGAATTAAAAATTATTAGAAAATAAAACGTTGGTTTTAAAAAAAAAAAAGTTGATTAATTAAAGTTTATTTTTCTCTTCGTTTAAATCAATGATGATTGATTATAAAGTTAGGTTTTTTAACATTTTTTAACGTCAATGCATGTGTAATGAATACTTTACCCAAAAAAAAATCAAGTTTTATCATATCGTTTCTAAAAAAATAAATTGTTAATAATTTCAACTTAAACTATTCTGATAGAAGATGAATTAATTGATATGCGAGTAGCTCATGTATTTATTTAACAAAAAATATTAATTTTATTTTCTGGTATTTGTTTTTGGATAAGGCCAGGAATGATCGAAATACTTGAATGAAAAAAAAACTCCTAAAACTTCAATAAAATATGATAGTATTATGAACATATGTATATTCATCACTTATTTGATGAGAATTTATTGCTTCTGTGAATTTATTCTATCAAGATTATAAATAAATGAAAAAAAGAGAGAGAGAGAAATATTTATGAGGATTTTTAAAAAAATATTTCCACAATAAATTGATTTTGAAAAATTCCAACCAAAATCAAACTAAAAAGAGGTAAAAATTTATGACGCAATGTCTATTGAATTGATGAGGTTACAATATAATCCTAGAAATGGCGGCGCCACTCATGAAAAGTTTGATCCTATACAAAATTCAATTGTACCTAAAGCTACAACTATTTTTATTTTATTTACGTCTCTTAACAGTCGGCATGAACTGTGTATGCGATTGAACCCATTCCAAAACATATAACCAAGTTATTCTCGGTTGTTATTATCAATGTATTTGTGTATTCCTCCATGGAAAAGAATGAGTGAGT